ATACAAAAAAAAGGTCTGCTAATAACAGGGCACAATTGGTACCCACAGAAATTCCAATAGATTGTTGGAAGACCTGGTCTCCAAAAAACACATAGATATTGTCAATCAGAAACTCAAGCATCTTTTTAATGTCAACTTCAGAGTACTTGAGTGTACAATCAGAATGTTTTTTAACAAAATAATTTTGCAAATGACGAATGACAAGGTAAGTATATTTACGAGTTCCATTTTTATTGAAAAAGCAGCTGTCAATGATATCAAAAAGCCTGGACTTTAAATAAAATTAATTAAATTTTAACTTAGCAGCCTTTACAGTTAAAAAATAATTACAGTCAAACCTGTATTAAGAGACCTTCCAACAGAGAAAGGAAAAAAGGTCACATATGACAGGTGGTCTCTTAATACAGGTTGCTTATTTTCCACAGTGTTCAAATATACAATGCAGAAAATATTACATGTGTATGAAGAATGTATTTTATAACATATTCTGTCTATTTCTGCTTTTTAATAGGAATTGCTCAACTCTAAATGCTTTTACATTATAGGTCCTGTTGAGGAATAAAATTGCTTGAAATTTTTTCATACAGTATAAAAAAGCTGCAAAGATTTTTTTTTTTCTAATAATAGTTTTTTATTTATGATAGCCTATATATAACTTCATATGTTTTGCACATTACTGAGAATTAAAACTGTATCATGATTTTTTTTATGCACTTGGTAACAAATTAAATTATGTTTATGACTAAAAATTTATTTAACCTAATTAATGTTTTTTTTCATTACTGATCTACCATGTCTAATTGCCTGTTTGTCACCAGGTACTCCAATCACTTCAATTATCACCTGGTATGGGTGATAGCTAGCATGTGTTTACATACCCCGTTGGTGACACAATTCACTTAAATAAACATCTAAGATTTAGTTACTTGTTAATTAAAAGTTAATCAGCTGAATATCCATTTGGCCCTTATAGCACGAAATGATATCAGGATCGACCTCAAACATCTATTTTCAAAATGGCACTCGATTACTGGAGAGAAAAAAATGTGAATGTTTATGTATTAGATTTTAAATAAGATTTCAATAAATATCAAAATGTAAGTAAAAATATTTATTTTGAAATGTTGTTTTATTCATAAAACTCGCATTATATAATTATTAAATGAAATAAATGCGTGTCTGTAGATGTTATGAACCAAAAAACGTAGCATGCTCGACCGAAATCGAAAGTAAGAATCAGAAATTATATAGTTGTTAGATCCAGGTAAAATTGCCTGAAATTACAAAAAATGGTCAGGAAAATCATGGTCGCAAGTCGCGTTGGACAGGTGGTCGTTTAATACAGGTATATGTAGGAAAAAGCGTTGGGAGAAATTTTTACGGTCACATATGACAGTGAGTCGCTTAATACAGTGGGTTGCTATGGCAGTTTTAACTGTACTTTCCAGTACAGTATATAGCTTTGAATATTTTCTAAAATTTTAATGCCGTGATTGTTTCCTCCTTTAGGACATAGAATAATGTAAACTTTGAGTACATAATGTAACAGCTTTAATTAATAAATACATTGTTTCCTTTCAAATACCTGCATTTACATTAAATACACATATTAAAAGAAAAAAATCATTTTCTGACTTCTGTTATTCTAAACTGACAAAACAACTTTTTATTATTACCAACATTTAATTAATTTTTGTAATTGATTTTACACTGCAATGGTGCAAAATCAGTGGTTTAGGAATTGTTACAAAGTTTATTTTTTTCAATGCCCAATACCTCTAAAATTGCCATTTTGTGGTATAATATATATATCCGTAGATGGTGGCATGAATTCTTGGGGCAGATGAATTATTTTGGTTAAAAATAACAATATTTAGATTGCTAGTATGTTTCTTTTTATGTTCCGTCAAAAGTTTTTTAGTAAAATGAACATCTTGAAAACACAAGCGAGTCACAATGTCATTCTTCAGTGTCGTGCAATGCTAACAAAATCGGAAAACAGTGACGTCGTTACAGCCATTTCAGCAGGATTTTTTCCTGAATTATTGTACACACTTTCAGACCCATACAAGTTACAATTAAATAATGTTAATTTGAACTAGAACTGTCCAAAAGGGACAAATACCCCCCGCTGGGTTTTTCAGAGAAGGTACCAAATCACTAATGTTTTCTAGATGTGAGAGGTGTTCACAATTTGCTTAAACATTTAGAGTGAAAATTTAATTACTCATTATATTTTTTTTTAATGAATGAAATTAAGGATATCCAATCCTCAGCCAGGAAGGATAACTCTTAAATTCATTATTTTATTTAAAAAGTCTCAAAATGAAGCTTGAAATTAAGATCTTTTCGTGCAACAATTTTCATTTTATGCATCTTAATATGTTTCAAGGTTCTTTGAAGTCTTAGAAACGATATTGTAAAAAGTTGACATCTGTATCCCATAAAAGAAAAAAAAAATAAATTCATTTTTAGAGAAATCGAATTTCCTTTAGTCTAGCATTAGATACGATTGCTTATTAGTATAATATGAAATTAGATGTGATATTTGATGTCTAGCAATGATAGCACAAGCTTTTTACACTATGTATTATATGACGATTGAAGTAAAAAGAAGAATTAAAATACTGTATAAGCATAAAAAAGATGCAATTTTCTCCAAATGCCTGGATACCTATATTTTCCTATCCTAAATTATATTTGTTGATCAATTTTCAATTAGAAAATGCATAGCTGGTGTTTTTATTCGCATTTCTTGAAAATATGTTTAAGATTTCATAATTTTCCCTATATGATATGATTAACTATAATGATGAACTTTGAAGAAATTCCATGGGTAAATTCACGTTACTATGTGAAATCAGAGATATTTTTGTGAGCAATTTCAATTACTTAAAAGCTGAATTTCAGAACCTGAGGATCGGAGTACCTTAAGGTGCAGCCTAATAAAACATCAATACTAATAATTACAGTGTTTTTTATTACATTGAAAAAATAGTTTGCAACTATCTGTCATCTTTGTGAGACATGACATTCTGCAAATTGATTGTTGAAAAAAAAATCATAATTAATTATACAAAGTCAAATTGATCTTAATACCTATCAAACTCATTTTAAAAATAAAAGGCCGGTTTCAGTAACTACCAGTATGTATTTTGACAGACATAAATTACAATTAAGAGGCTTAGACAACAGAAATCTTTATTTCTTTCTTCCCAATTCTCAGGAGATATAGATAAGACCTGCTTGATCAGAGATGCCCTAGCAGCTTCCCACACTGAACTCATTAATTAATCTTTAACTGGATGCATGTCCACTCATTACTCCAAAGGGACAAATAGATTTACACTATCTGCTGTGTAATGTAAAAACTGTTTTTAATATTTTGTGATTTTTTTAAGTTCTAATGAGTAGTTTTAAGCTGTGGTTCACATTTTTGTACAGATGTTCTAGATTCTATGTCTCAATCCTTAGACATGAAACCGAAATGACTAAGTCAATAAAAATGAAAAAAAAAACCTGTAAAATGCAGAAAAATTATCAAATAATGTTGAAAATACCAGGTGCACATCTTCATATGGTAAATAATAAGTGTACGAATTTTCATACAAATCTATGCAATAGTCTCTGGGAACAGATCTGAACAAAACCACATAATAAAAATGAAAAAAAAAAACACCTTTAAAATGCAAAAAAAATAATCCAATCATGATGAAAATACCAGGTGCACACCTTCATATGGCGAATAAGTGTACAAATTTTCAGACAAATCCTTGCAACAGTTTCCAAGAAATGGTCCGGACAAAATCTCGTCTACAGACAGACGGACGGACATGCTGATTCCAATATACCCCCTCTAAACTTCGTTTGTGGGGGGTATAATTAAAACCACAATACCTAGGAAAGGCGTAATGTCACACATACAACTGCATGATATTATCAAAAGCTGTGCAAAGTCATGCACACTCGAATTAAGACTCATTGATGCTGGAGTTAACTTAAAGATGCCAATAATTTGGGGAGTTGGTGCAATAACACAGACTTTCCATCCACAGGGCACCATGTTTTTTTGGGAATACTTGTGGCCTGTTCTGCATATTAAGGCTGTTGTGACCGCCGACAGGGGAGTGTAGGGGTCCACCTGGAATAGGTAGTGCACCCTACTGCATGCAGGTGCACATCTGGCCTCAACACTCGGTCACTCAGTAACCATTAGACATGGTTACTGTCCTTGACATGGAATTGTCAAGGATTAAGACATATAAGATAAATCCTTTTCCAGTCTTTATTAAGGATATATGTTCATTATATATACATATCTTCAAACTAGGTCTGCTAGCTACCTGCTCTAGTCCTCCTTACTCTCTTACTTCTGAACTACTCTGATGCCAAACTACTACTACTACTGAGATTATCTCTGTTCTCTGATAAAAATATAATCTTTGCCTTAGGGTGAATTAAGTGGTTATTTGATTTACTCATGCAGGATTGTTTGACATCTTTACAAGAGAGTGATGTGGACAGGTAAAGTGTTAATTACTGTGACAACTATACTGACTTCAGGGTACCAAAAGATAATTGCACAGGGGATTAACTTAATTGACTTCAAAGACTAGAATAACAATGTACTAGACATATATACAACTTACAAGCCATCTGCTAAACTTTGAAATATATGGCATCTTTGTATCAATTAAATATTAGAATGAATGATATAGAAAACTGAAGTATAAAATAGAAATGTAATTCTTGTAATATTAAAATACATAAAATTATAAATTATGTAAGACCCCTGACTCTTTGGTTAGTGGCTATACTGTCCTCATTTCCATGAGGCTGTTTGGGGGGCAATGAAACTGTATTGTTTTGTTTTATTTCTGTTTATGGTATTTCATAAATCAATATATCATTAATTAAAATGTTCAAAATTAATGTCCAACATGTGTCAATGAATAGATCAGTATAGATGAATAAAGTGTAGTGAAATATAAGTCTAATACCTGGCCCTGAGTTAGTCCATACCACTGGATGATTTTCTCCCAGCCTTCTTTAGGTAGTAAAATATAATCAAGTTCATCAATTAAATGGTCTTTTAATTCTTGTGTGTCTTCTGCAATAAAACATAAATTGTGTTTTACTTCTTGTTTATCTTCAGTTCTGGGTGAATTCAAAAAAATGACCAAACACATATTTATCAATCCACACTAAAAATACAGGCAATGAAAATAGATTTCTATGCCTCAGCATATGTCTTTAGATAGTGTCTAAATACCTGCCAAACATCTCATTGCTAAAAAAGTTATGCCCAAAAATGATGCTAAAATTGTCAGAAGTGCAACACCTTTTTGTGACATTTTGAAATTTCAATATTTTTTTGAGATCTGTGAAATAAATAATGAGACTTTATGTAAAAAATAAAGACTTTCTTGATAATTAATATTAAAAGTATTGAGCTTTAAATGTGGACTGTAGTAACTTTTGTATAATAAAGTTGTGGTCATGGCTCATGTTTAAAAAACAGTTATACCATGTCTGGAGTGCAACAGAAAAAATGTAGTGTTGCCAAAAAAACATCTATTGTAAAATTCTGAAAGAAAATTAAGACACAAAAGATTTTTTGAAGTGTAAAACAATAACTGATATACATTTTAAAACTAAAAAATATTATATAAATTATAAGCAGAATTAATGAGATCGAGTCAAGTATATGTGCATACCCAATAATGTCAGGTGTGCAACATTTTGATGTTTTACCCCAAAGCATGAAAAAACTATTATCAATAAATGATTTTCTGATTTTTATTTTGGAAATAAAGGCACAAAGAACATTTTCACCAAATAGATTTATCAATTACAGGGTCTGTCTGTGCTTTAGATCTATATATTTATGGTCAGGAGTGCAACACATTTTTTTTAAAGATTCAAGTTGTGTGACAAAAACACTTCCATTCATGCTTAGAAGTATTCATTAATTAATAATGTATCTTTTTGTATAATTTAATACTAAATTATTGACAGTTTTATTATTAAAATCCTTCCATTTTCAATTTTATCAATTCATGTTTTTATCTTTTTTGTGATTTTTTTAATGAATGTTAAAAATAAACACACTAAAAAATTGTCATAAAATTCAAGTTATTCCTCCTCAACTTCACTGAAATAACAGAACAAGTTCTTATGTAATTTTCACTTCACAATTCTACTTTAAAGGCCCAAATGCTTTTGGTCAGGAGTGCAACAAATATGTAAGAATTATAAATCATCCAATAAGAGTAAACATAGGTAATCAGAGATTACAGAGCTTACCTCAATGAATGTTGTCTTTAAGTAAGGCAAAGTCCCTCACTGAACTAATAATCTTGGAGTGTACATCCCTAGATGCAACATTTATGCAATTTTGGTCTGATAGGGCTTGCAGTAACTTGGGAATAGACTTATCTGAAAACTTAAAACTAGTCACTCATCCAGAAAATGTAAGTCAAATCCAGCATCCGAAGCAAGTTTGAGATTGTTCCTCCCTTGATGCATCATCCATGCAAGTTTGGCTCAGATAAGCCTTATAGTTACTTGGAAATGAGATCTGCTCCAAAAACTTTAACCTGGTTACTCATCCGGAAAATGTAGGTCAGATCCAGCATCTGAAGCAAGTCCAGTAGTGTGCATCCTTAGATGCATCATCCATGCAAGTTTGCTTCAGATAGGCCTTATAGTTACTTGGAAATGACATCTGCTCCAAAAACTTAAACCTGGTCACTCATCAAGAAAATGTAGGTCAGATCCAGCATCCGAAGCAAGTCCAGTAGTGTGAATCCTTAGAGGTATCATCCATGCAAGTTTGGTCAATATAGGGTTTATAGATACTTGGAAATGACATCTGCTCCAAAAACTTTAACCTACTCACTCATCCAAGCAAGTCCAGTAGTGTGAATCCTTAGAGGTATCGTCCATGCAAGTTTGGTCAATATAGGGTTTATAGATACTTGGAAATGACATCTGCTCCAAAAACTTTAACCAGGTCACTCATCCAGAAAATATAGCTCAGATCCAGCATCTGAAGCAAGTCCAGTTGTGTGCATCCTTAGATGTATCATCCTTGCAAGTTTGGTCTATATAGGGCTTATAGTTACTTGGAAATGAGATCTACTCCAAAAACTTTAACCAGGTCACTCATCCAGAAAATATAGCTCAGATCAAGCATCTGAAGCAAGTCCAGTTGTGTGCATCCTTAGATGTATCATCCTTGCAAGTTTGGTCTATATAGGGCTTATAGTTACTTGGAAATGAGATCTACTCCAAAAACTTTAATCTACTCACTCATCCGGAAAATGTCGGTCAGATCCAGCATCCGAAGCAAATTCAGTAGTGTGCATCCTTAGATGTATCATCCATGCAAGTTTGGTCAATATAGGGCTTATAGTTACTTAGAAATGAGACCTGCTCCAAAAACTTGAACCTGCTCCAAAAACAATAACCTATTTATTCTTTAGCTGAAATTGCAGCATCTGAAACCTTGACTGGTACAATGAAACACACTAGAAGCATCCTCCATGCATCTCTGACTAATATAGGCCATAGAAGTACTTGAAAAGAAAACTGCTCCAAAAACCACCGCTAACACCGACGCCGAGGGTATTACATAAGCTCCCCCAACTTCGTTGAGGTGAGCTAAAAATGAAGAAAAAAATGATGAGTAGAATTTTTCTGGTGGGTTACTATGTTTGTCCTCTAAAGGAAAAGATGCAATAATATATATATATATAATTTCTAAATATACATTTAAGCTAGTTTTTGTCATAAATAGGGAATAATTCTTCCAGATAAAATGTGTATTGTAAATACTTTCATCTGTTTCAATTATGAAGTATTGGACTATAAATATTGCACAATTTCATTACGACTTCATGTTGCCAACACTTTATGAATTTTTGTATTCTATGGTTTTAATTTTAAATTTTACTGTAGTCACTGGAGTTCAACAAAACTGCTTTATAATTACCAATGCTTTTTAACTATCTTTACTAAAAAATATGTTGAAAAAAAAATGTTTGATACTATTTGATGTTCAAAACACTACCGTATTTGGCTGAATATAATACACACTTTTTTTCCAAAATAATTTTCTGTGAGAAAGGGGTGCCTATTTTTATACCACAATGGGATTTTGATAGGTTTTTCTTTCATGTGAAACATGGCTATCATACACACATACCGTAGTATTACCTAGAGACTTATGCAATTTCTTGCTGTTTATCACCGTATTTAAAACTTCGGAAAATTACTGTTGGAATGTGGGCTTGTTAAAAATGTTATATTATAACCTTTGATAGTTAAAATTAAATGTAAAAACAAGTTAAAATTAATTTGAGCTGCATGTTCATCGTCTCCGTGTAGGCCACCATTAACAATGTTATTTATAGATGTTCACACATTCCTTTGCCACGTACGTGCTTCCGAAATCATAGTACACATGTACCTAATCAGTCAGACACTCGGTCAAAAAAGTAATGTCATTTTTTATTGAAATACAATAAAATAAAATTTTATTTTAGGTTTTAAATAACTCAGTGAAAATTCATTTAAACATAAACACCCCTCTATACGTCCCAATAAATGGAAGCCAATGTTGTGAACACGTGCGCTTGTCACTTGATAATTACCCCTCAACACCCCTCCAGGCAATTCAATTGTTTACCGACTCCAAAGAATTGTTTTTACAGTTAGAGCACTGATTATTTACTGCCCTTATTAATGGCTTTGATTATTTTCTTTGTTAAAAATCGGGGGTTGGTTTATGATCTTTCGTATATATAAGCGTTTGTTGATTACAACACATTAAACAGTTAAACGCTTGTTAAATGTAATTTTACTTTATCTTATATCGGCCTCGTGTTAAAATGATTGAGAGTGAAAAAGGGAAATATGAAGTATGTTGAAACATTTACTCGTGCTCTGTAGAAAATAAGATATCCACGAAGATTACCTCGATGTATGAAGACATATATCCCACCTTTGTACATCGTTTTTCACAGCTTTGGAGGTGTGTTGATAACTGTACTTTACACGCTTGTTAAATTTTGATTTTAATTTTTATAACATCAGCTATTTATTTAATTAATTAATTTCAAGTTCAAAAGAGGAAAATCGTAGTCTATGAATACTTTGATGTTGCAATATCGCTTGCCCTATTAAATTTACATAATTTTCAACATGATTACCTTAAAGGCAGAGATTTTTTACCGGGTGGTAAATTCCAGGTGAGGGAGGGGCTTATTTTGTACAGGTGTGAATGCCTTGAGGGCTAGCAGTATACCTTTGGTCATTTGTCTCCTAATCCCTATACACAGGAAGTGATTTAATACACAGTAGAGTACCCAAGAAGTCAAACTTTACCTGTGTTGGGATTTTGAGATGATTTTAAATTAGAAATAAAAAGTTATAAATAAAGTTTAATCTCAATTCTATTAATTTGTTATTGAATGTGTGTCAAAGCATCCCCACCCATTAAAAAATATTATTATTAAAATTATTTGTTGAGCTTTGAAAAAAAGTTGTACCAAATTTTAATATATAATTTCATAAAGAATATCATAATTATTTCAAATACTAAAGGTGTGTATAAATATATATTATCAAGCTCCATCAAATTCCATAGTAATACAGCTTCTCTATTGTTTATACCATGTGTGGTAAATATCAAAGGATCAAAAGTTAATTTGAAGGTCACCACGAGTGCCAAACAAGGTGTACAGGGTATACACAGGGACTAGTAAGTAAATGCCAATCAAGTTATAGCATCCAATGATGTACGTTTATGCACTTGATTGACAGGGGTACACAGACCAGGTATTTTTGAAGGCAGTGCTTAAAATCTCTGCCTTTAAACTAAAAATAAATATGACAACTGTTAAACTTGCAACAATATCTTGTGCTTTGTTGAAATAAAATTATTTCCACAAAGAATAGTTAGAATATGGCGACGTATAATTTCAATATCACCGTATGCTAAAAAAAAATTAAATAATAAACTCTGTACTTTAATGCAACATTATCTCATGCTTTGTTAAAATAAATAATTTCCTCTAGATTGCCGCGATATGGAAAGTCAAGATT